GCTGGTAGTTTCGAACCGCTGACCTTAAGGTTCGCAGCCCGATTCGTAACCACTACGCTATAGGACTGGATAATGCTTCATTCTGTTTTGCATAGGATCGCTATGTATCAGAACCGACCGAATAGAACCTAGTAACAAGCATACTCCTAGCCTCTCTCAGCTTCCTTCCTCCCAGCTGGTGCACACCTGGCACCTGGCCTCATAATTATTAGACATTCTCCTTACTTAGATTTCTGCCAAAGAAGGTTGCTTACCCCTCATTCTAGATCTGCTTCTGTAGAGAAGAACATGTTGCAGATAATTGATATTTCTGTGTTAGATAGTAGCTAGAAAAATCATCCCTCTAAAATGCTTTATGACTTATATCAGGAATCTAATTTGGTTTATTCCTGATGTAACTATTAGATATATCTTTATCTTGTTGTTGTTGTTGTTGTTATGTGACCTGGAGTCAGTTCCAACTCATAGCAACCCTGTAAAGGGTTTCTGAGGCTTTAAATTTTCACGGGAGCAGAAAGCTTCATCTTTCTCCCGCGGAACAGCTGGTAGTTTCGAACTGCTGACCTTGCAGTTCGCAGCCCGATTCGTAGCTACTAAGTTACCAGAGCTCTTTATCTTATAGGTTCTTAAATCACCTCCTTTCAGAATTCTATTTTAGTTATTGCTGTATAGTTTTGTAATAATATGGCATATATAAACATATACTCCATATATATTTTTTAAATTAACCTCATGTTATAAAAACTATGATAGATGAAAAATATTTAGACACAAACAGTTTCTTGTGTTCTGAGTACATTTTCATTTGTTTATATTTTTATTTGTGACATCTATAATTTATTTTCATTGTAAGGCTCATTTTTCTAGCAAGAGAATGTGGCTAAGGGCTTTTACTTTTGTATATGAATGTGGAAATATCGGGGGAGTTTTAAGTCAGCTGATATGAAAAAGTAGAGTAAAACAACATTTTAAGAGAAAAATCTGTTATGTGCATAAAGAACAAAGCAACCAGATTCTGACAAGACAGAGTTTGGTGGAGTTGTTAGCTGTCATTTCATAGATTCCAACTCATGGAGACCTTGTGTACAACAGAGTGAAACCTTGCATGTTGGAATCCCATCCTTGTAGCCATTGTACCAATCCACTGATGATCTGCCATGTTCTTGTTGGCTTTGTACTTTACCAAACACAATTGTGTTGTTGTAGTTAAGTGCCTTCGAGTTGGTTCCTACTCATAGTGACCTGTGTAGGGTTTCCAAAGAGCAGCTGGTGGGTTTGAACTGCCAGCCTTGTAGTTTGCAGTCCAGTGCTGATCCAACAGTGCCACACCAGGAGTCCAGAAATCCACCAGGAGGGAAAAGATTAGGAATGCTCTTTCTAGTTTTAACAACATGATCTAATAGAAAAGATATGGATCTGAACATTTCTACAAATTGGAAACTATGAATTCTGGTGCTTGCTGATTTACAAAGCCCAGATTATTTTATTCCATAAAATAAAGAGGTATAGAGTATGGCTTCTCCTTGCTTCCTTCGTATGACAGTTTATCTGTTCCTATGTCCCTTTAAGGTGGTCTCTTGTGATGTGGTTGGCGAAGCTGTTCAGTTCATCGTTTCTGCAGTGCCTGCTTCCCCCGAAGGTGAAGGGTGCCGGCTCTATGATGTCCGACTCTCCCCATTTCGTTTACAGGTAACTTTTTCAAGGCATAGGAAAGCAGTTCCCAGCAATTTGTAGGGCATGCGTTAAATGGTGGAAATACCTATAATTTCATTATAGCTATTAATTTTATTAATTGCATTCCTTTTCCTAATTCTCAAACTGTAGGCTTCCCTATCACATTCCGAGGAGCAGCTGGTAAGGTTGAACCACCAACTCTGCAGTTCATACTGACTTTGCAGTGCAGCAGTTCATACTGACTTTGCAGTTCATACTGACTTTGCACAGCACCACACCAGGGCTTCATAGGAGGGGGTTTCAAAAATTCCTGGAAAAATTCCATTATCTTTCAGTTCCATTTTTCCATGAATTTTTTGAAGTCCCCTCATATAGTATGGAGTCCTGGTGTGGCACTGTGGGTTAATGTGCCAGACTGCAAAACCGTTTGAACTGCAAGCTACTCCTCAGAAACCCTATAGAGGGTTGCTATGGTTCGGAATCAACTCGACAGCACTTACAACAACAACAAACATATGTTGTTGTTGTTGTTGTTAAGTGATGTCGAGTCGGTTCTGACCCATAGAAACCCTGAACAGGGTTTCCGAGGCTGTAAATCATTATGGGAGCAGAAAGCCTCATCTTTCCCCCACGGAGCAGCTAGTAGTTTCGAACTGCTGACCTTGTGGTTTGCAACCCAATTCGTAACCACTACACTACCAGAGCTTCTTAACAAACATGTAGTATACAATAAAAAACAAACCAAACCCATAGCCTTCGAGTTTATTCCAACTCACAGTGACTCCGCATGTAACAGAGTAGAACTCTGCTCCACAGGGTTTTCTTGGCTGTAATCTTTGTGGAAGCAGACTGCCAGCGCTTTCCCCCACCCCATGGCACCACTAAAGGAGCCATAAAGAAGTCCACAGAGGATCACACAAGCAAACTGTGGAAATGTTGTCTCTCAGGTTGTGTTTATTGTATCATAGCATTCTTGCCATTTTAGCTACTCAGGCAGATGTAACTCAGTTGTATCTTTGGTATTTCAACACAGTTTAAAAACAGTCTGTGCATTACCTGCCAAAGCAGAAGACAGTTGCTGAAGACTTGGTAAATCATTAATGCTAAAGCCAAGAGGTCTTTTTTTCAAAGATTCTGCAAATCAGAAGCAGTGCCAGCAATCGAAATGTTAATAACTCCTACCATCTGGCTGTAGGGAGGGAAGGAGCCACTCGAATACCTGTGGAAGTGAAATTAAAATTCATTTTTCCTATAATTACCTAGGATCATGGAACCACTCGTCTGTCAGTTTGTTGTACTGTGGTGGCTTGTGAGTTGCTGTGATTTTGAAAGCTATGCCACCGGAATTTTAAATACCAGCAGGGTCACCCATGGTGGACAGGTTTCAGATGAGCTTCCAGACAAAGACAGACTAGGAAGAAGGAGTGATGAGCTACTTCCGAATCTGTAGTCACTGAAAGTCTTATGAATAGCAGAGAAACACTGTTAGATATAGTGCCAGAAAATGAGACCCTCAGGTTGGAAGGCACTCAAAATGCGACTGAGGAAGAGCTGCCTCCTCAAAGTAGAGTGGACCATGATAACGTGAATGGAGTAAAGCCCATAGGACCTTCATTTGCTGATAAGGAACTCAAAATGAAGAGAAACAGCTGTAAACATCCATTAAAAAATGGAAGATGGAATTTACGAAGTATAAATCTGGGAAAATTGGAAGTTGTCAAAAATGAAATGGAATGCATAAACCTTGATATCTTAGGCAGTGAGCAAAATGAACTGGTATTGGCCATTTTGAATCTGACAGCCACATGGTTTACTATGCCAGGAATGACAAATTGAAGAGGAATGGTGTTGCATTCATTGTCAAAAAGAACATATCGAGTCAATCATGAGGTACAATGCCATCTGTGATAGGATAATATCCATGCGCCTACAGGGAAGCCCAGTTAATACCACTATTATTCAAATTTATGCATCAACCCCTAAAACCAGTGAGGATAAAATAGAAGAATTCTACCAACTTCTTCAATCTGAAATTGATCAAACATGCAATCAAGATATATTGATCATTACTGGTGACGGAAATGCCAAGGTTGGGAGCAAAGAGGAAGGATCAGTAGTTGGAAATTATGGCCTTGGTGATAGAAATGATGCTGGAGATTACATGATAGAATTCTGCAAAATCAATTTGTTCATTCCAAATACCTTCCTTAGACAGTGTAAGAGATGACTATACACATGGACCTCACCAGATGGAATACATAGAAATCAAATTGACTACATCTGCGGAAAGAGAAGATGGAAAAACTCCATTTCATCAGTCAAAATAAGGCCAGGGGCAGACTGTGGAACAGACCATCAATTGCTCATATGCAAATTCAAACTGAACCTGAGGAAAATAAAAACAAGTCCACAAGAGCCAAAATATGACCTTGAATATATCCCACTTGAATTTAGAGATCATCTGAAGAACAGATTGGATACATTAAACACTAAAGACCAAAGACCAGAAGAGTTGTGGGATGACATCAAGAACATCATATATGAAGAAAGCAAAAATCATTAAGAAGACAAGAAAGAAGGAAAAGGTCAAAATGGATGTCAGAATAGACACTGAAACTTGCTCTCCAGCGTAGAGATGCTAAAGCAAATGGAAGAAATGAGGAGGTACAAGAGCTGAACAGAAAATTTCAAAGGCCAGCTCGAAAAGATAAAATCAAATATTACAACAAAATGTGCAAAGATCTGGAGTCAGAAAACCAAACGGTAGGAACATGGTCAGCATTTCTCAAGCTGGGGAACTGAAGGAAAAATTCAAGCTTCGACTTTTATTATTGAAAGATTCTCTGGGCAAATTATTGAATGATGCAGAAAGCATCAAGAGAAGATGGAAGAAATACACAGAGGCACTGTACCAAAAAGAAATGGTTTGTGTTCAACCGTTTCAAGAGGTAGCATATGATCACGAGCCAATGATACTGAAGGAGGAAGTCCAAGGTGCATTGAAGGAATTGGTAAAGAACAAGGCACCAGGAATTGATGGAATAAAAATTGAAATCTTTTGAGAAAGTGAGGCGGCACAGAAGGCACTCACTCATCTATGCCAAGAATTTTGGAAGACAACTATCAGGCCAACTGATTGGAAGAAATCCATATTTGTGCCCATTCCAAAGAGAGGTGACCCAACAGAATGCGGAAATCATCAATATCTTTGATATCCCATGCGAGTAAAGTTTTACTAAAGGTAATACAGAAATGGCAGCATACATTGACAGAGAACTTCCAGAGGTTCAAGCCAGATTCAGAAGATGCCATGGAACAAGGGATATCATTGCTGATGTCTGATGGATCTTGGCTGAAAGCAGAGACTATCAGAAAGATGTTTACCTGTGCTTTATTGATTATGCAAAGGCTTCCAATTGTGTGGATCATGACAAGCTATGGACAACCTTGTGAAGTATGAGTATTCCGGAACACTTAATTGTACTCATGAGGAATCTGATCTGTACTTGGACTAAGAGACAGTTGTTCAAAGAGAACATGGGAACACTGAATGGTTTAAAATCAAGAAAGGTGTACGACAGGGTTGTATTCTTTCACCATACTTTTATTCAATCTGTATGCTGAGCAAATAATCTGAGAAGCTGGATTATATGAAGAAAAACGTGGCATCCGGATTGGAGGAAGACTTATTAACAACCTGCGATATGCAGATGATACAACCTTGCTTGCTGAAACTGAAGAGGACTTAAAACATTTATTGATGAAGATCAAAGAGCACAGCCTTCAGTATGGTTTGCATCCCAATGTAAAGAAATAAAAAATCCTCACCGCTGAACCAATAAACAACATTCTTTTCAATGGAGAAAAGATTGAAGTTGTCAAGGACTTCATTCTTCTTGGATCAACTATCAACACTCACGGAAGCAGCATTCAAGAGATCAAATGACATATTGCATTAGGCAAATCTGCTGCACAAGACCTTTTTAAAGTGTTGAAGAGCAAAGATTTCAGCTTGAGGACAAAGGTGCGCCTGACCCAATCCATGGTATTTTCAATAATTTCATATGCATGTAAGAGCTGGACAGTAAATAAGGAAGACCGTAGAAGAATTGATGCTTTTGAGTTATGGTGTTGGAGTAGAATATTGAAAGTGCCATGGTCTGCCAAAAGAACCAACAGATCTGTGTTGGAAAAATGCAGCCAGAGTGCTCCTTGGAGGCCAGGATGGCCAGACTTCATCTCTCATATTTGGACATACTGTCAGAAGGGAACAGTCGCTGGAGAAGGATATCATGTTTGGTAAGGTGGAGGGTCAGAGAAAAAGAGGAAGACCTCCAGTGAGATGGATTGGCCAAATGGCAGCATCAGTGGGCTCAAGTGTGGCAACAATAGTGAGGTTGGCTAAGGATCAGGCAGTGTTTCATTCTGGTGTACATAAGGTCACTATGAGTCGGTACCAACTCAATAGCACCTAACAACAACAACATAGGACAACAAGGTTAACATACTCAACTGCTAGGTGCAAGGTTGCAGGTTTGAATCCACTCAGAGGTACCTCAGAAGAAAGGCCTGGTGATCTACTTCTGAAAACTCATCCATTGAAAACCCTGTGGAGCCCAGTTCTACTCTGACACATATAAGGTTACCATGAGTCAGGGGTGACTCCATGGCAGCTGGTCTAGCAGAAGTGAAAGGATGGTGGGAATGGCACTGTAGCTGGTAGTCATTATTTCATTATTTCTCTTTTCTTGTTTTGAGCTTCAAATTTTAAAGGTCTCCAAGCCTTCTATAGTACAGCTGAATGCTATTCTTTCCTTCGCTTTTGTTTTGGGGGAATGGATATGAACAGCTAAGATTCTTCCTTTACAATATGTGTCTAACTGGAAAAAATGAAGGGTGATGTATTAGTTTTCTATGGGTGTTGTAGTAAACTGCCAAGAAGTTTGCTTCATATGACACGTATTCATCGTATTCATTGTGTTACTGTTCTGGGAATCAGAAATCTGACATGGGTCTCACTGGTCTAAAATCAGGATATTAGCAGGACTGCCTTTCTTTCTGGAAATTCTGAGAAAGAATCTGTTCTCTTACTCATATGGCTTGTTGGTAAAATTCAATGGTAGGACCAAGGTCCTGCTTTCTTGCTGCCTGTAAACTGAAGGCCAGTCCTAGCTTCTCGAGCCCACCTGCATCCGTTGGCCTGGGCCCCTTCCTCCATTCATCAGAGCTATCAATAAAGTCTCACGTCACCTCTTTCATCCTCCCTCCCATTGCAAGGGACTCATGGAATTAGATTGGCCCATCTGGGTAGTCAGGGAGACTCTCCTGGTCTGTGCCCTCCATTACATCTGCAGAACCCCTTTTGCCATGTAAGGTGGCACATTCATAGGTCCCAGGGACTAGGCCACAAGCATCTTTGTGGCCGTTATGCTGATGACCACAGATGTGTTGGGCTGGGTGAGACAGGATCAGAGATCAAGGCCCTGGGAGAGTTGACAGGGACGCTGGCCAGTTCTGCACACTCTCTTAAGGGTATTGGGATTAAGGGATCTCCATGGCCAGTACCAGGAGTAGTACCTCCTGGGTTCTCCTCTCACCTTTATACCTTGGTAATTTTCCCAGAAAGAGCTATGCAAACTCCAGTTACGTAATCATTTTAAAATGACTATGGAGTTGTAATGCTACCTCGTCTTCAGTTACCAATACTGAGGTTCCTCTCTGAGTAGAGGGCTTAGGCAAAGAAAGGGACTGTCAGAGTGGGGCATATGACGGTGAAGGGGCAGGTCAAATGCAGTGTGTGTTCCTCCTTTCTATTTTTAAAGCACATAACATGCTAAGAAGGAGGCTAAACAGTTTTCTGTGAAAATAAATGGATACATAAACACACACACTGTTTCACACAGTCATACATAGAGACACACACACATATGTACCAAGCATACACACATCCACATTCACAGATAGATACACACCATGCACACCTACAGCCTCATACACAGACACATATAGCAGACATACCAGACACATACGTACATTCCCCCACATACACTCATATAGACAGACACGTACTCTTGTACACACTGATCACACACATATATATACGCACACAACAGAAACACACAGACTAATAACATATACCACTCACAGACACATGAACACACACACCACATAATACACATGCATGCACCATACACAGACACACCCACACATATCCGCTCTCACACATGCATACACACAGATGTGTGGTCACACATGATCACAATACTCCCACACATGCATGCGCTTGCACACACATCTTCATATACACATTCATGTTCTGGTAGAAAGAGCAGCTCTCAAATAACCAATTGGATTTCTGTTCACAGCTGGAGCTGCACATGCAGGAAAAGAGAGAAGACATCCAGATCAGGTGGTCCTTCATCAGCATGCCGGAAATGGCCATTCACATCCAGCCCAAAGCACTGCGGGAGGTCAGTCTGGCAGTTTGTGTCTGTGATTCTTCTGCAAGATGTGGGAAGACATGTGCGCGTTATAACAGCCACACTAGGAAACCAAAGTTTATGCCCACGTCCTTCCCGCATCCTCAGTCAACCCTCCCAGGCAGACTTGACCCTCCTGAATCTGACCTTTTAGGGAAACAGGGCCTTGTGGGGGCTGGCTGCAAATGAACTTGATGGGGGCTGTCAACCTGGGCTGTACCCTAGAATCACTGGAGCAGTTGTTAGGCAGTGTGATGCTGGGTCTCTTCCAGGGTATAGGTTGGACTGATTGAACTGAAAAGCATTCTGTACAACCAAAGTTGCGAATGATTGAGTTAATTAAGTCCTATATTTTCGCTAGCATTTCATCCAACTTCATTAGTTGCCTCTCCTGCTGGCAAATGAGCTTCCCCTGTAATTCCAGATGAGCTCAGACACTTATTCCTGCAAGCAGGCTCTCCCTTCTGCCTGCCTTTTTACAAGGTCACACCTAAAACCTGAAGGCAGTTTCCATCCCACTTCTTATTGGTTGAGATGTTTGTGGAGGCTGGGGTTTACGTGGTCCATTAATCCATTGGATTCATTGTTTCTCTGTATCTTTGATTTTCTTCACTCTTCTTTACTCTGACGGAGAGTCCTTAGATAGTTTATCATGGCCTTTATGATTTCCTGGTACTTGTGCTGTACTTTAGAGTCTGATTCAATTATTGTGATACCACAACAGCTGAAATACATGAATTTAATAGTTCATCTGTCTATAAATATTTGGACTTTCCATGCCTTAAATGGATGTACCTAATTTTAAGCTAGTAAATTAGAATTGGAATTCTTTTAGCTTGCAAAAAGATTATAGTTTTTCCCTGACCATTCAGTTATATGATTCATGTGTGTTTGGTTTTCCTACCTTGCCCCCAGTTTACTTTCATTGTCTTCCTCTTTTCCATATCGTGTTCAGTCAGGCCAACAATGCACACTGCACATACAAAAAACTTATAAAACTACTGCCCGAACACCACCACTAAACAAAACTAACAGAGTACATTCAAGATTTCTTGACATATCTTTTTGTCTCAGAATGCATCCCCTTGAAGGGATGTGCTCCACAGATTAATTAATGTTTATCCTGTGTGCAGTTAGGTTACCAATTTGATATACAGGTGACAGTTACATGCTTGGCGGCTACCTGAAAGGTTGGCTGTTTGAATTCACACAGCATTTCCATGGAAAAAATCCTGATCCCATAAAAATTACAGCCAACAAAACCCTATAGGGAAGTTCTACTCTGTTACATGGAGCCCCTATGGGTCAGAATTGACTCCACACACCGAACAACAATAACAACAAAGCGCATTTGGTTCTGTTGGTATCCAGGAGTAGTTTTTCTCCCCATCCTTGCTATTTAAATTTAGTTTTTGATTATGTAAAATATTAACAGGGATCAAAAGCCAAAACTCCATTAAAAGTTACATCATAGTATAGCTCCCATTCTATCCCTTCTCCTCTTGCCTCATTCAACCTCTCTGTGCAGCTTTTATTTATCCTTGCTGGGTTTCTTTTCAGAGAAACAGGTGGATGTGCAAACACACAGGATCTTATTTCCTTCCTTACCCAAAGAGTAGTTATTGTTGTTAAGCCGGTCCCAGACACATGGCAACCCCATGGAAAGGGAATGGAATGTGAGTTTTCATTGGCTGATTTTTCTTCATCTGAAAACTTTACTGAAACCTGCTCAGCATCACAGGAACACCGGGCTTTAGTGACAGATGAGTGGTGGCTGCCTGCAAGGTACACTGGCTAGGCTTGCCAAGTAACCATACCTTGCTTCCCTTGTTCCCCCTAGTACAACATCCACTGCTCCTGGTATTAAGGAGGAATACAACTTTGCCAGTGAAGAGATGCTGTAGAAACAAGGCAGCCCTGAGTAACCAGCTCTCCTGGGCTCCCTTACTGACTCTCTGGGCCCCCTTGGAGGGTGATGAGGACATCCTGTGGGAGGAGACAGGAAGATGAAGGTTGACCAGGCAGCTGCTCTGGAGACCCAGAACAGATCAAACCTGATAATTCTGAAGTTATCTGAGTGCCCTGAAGCTCATTGCTCAACTTGATTTTCCCCTCTGCAAAGTAAGGAACAATTATGGGGGTTAAAAGAGTCAGAAAAACAAAATGTAGTCTATAAAAAATAAAAATAAGAAGAGTATTCCTTGACCATAAAAATACAAAGTCAGACACACAAGAGCAATTAGTGTATGATTCCATTTATTGGAAGTGTCCAGAATAGATAAATCCAAAGAGACAGAAAGCAGATGGTTGGTTATCGGGAACTAGGAGGCTGGTTGTTGTTGTTAAGTGCCATCAAGTCAGTTCTGACCCATAGTGATCCTGTATAGGTTTTCCAAGGAGCAGCTGGTGAGCTTGAACCACTGACCTTGCAGTCCAAACAGACCTTGCAGTCTAGTGCATTAACCCACAGCGCCACACCAGGACTCCAGGAGGCTGGTTGTTGTTTTTGTTGTTAAGTACCATGGAGTCAGTTCTGATGGGTACTGGGGTTGTCTTTTGGGGTGATTAAAATGTTCTGGAACTTGATATCAGTGGTAATTGCACAGTAGTGTGAATGCACTAAATACCACTGAAATGTGCACTTTTAAGAGGTTAATGTTATGTTAGATGAATTTCATATCAGTGAGACAAAGTAAGTATTCAAGGATATAATGTATCTTTATACAAATAACTGGTCTTATATGGTGTTTTTCTAACTGTAGGATCCCCTCATGTTAGTTTCCTATGTATGCTGTGTGCATTTTATGGGTATTCACATTATTTAAATGGGTATATTATTTGCAAAAATTTACAGTACTCAAGAAAGAGATGACTTATTGAATTGTACAGTTAAGGTTATTATAATGGCCAAATTTTGTTATATACAGTTTACCACAATAATATAAAAAAAAGATATGCATCTTATTCTTGTTAAGAGCCATCAAGTCAGTTCCAACTCATAGCAACCCTGTATAGGGTTGGTGTCCATGGAGCAGCAAGTGGGTCTGAACCGCCGACCTTGCAGAACTTATCCTTAGCAGTCCTGTGCTTATCTCAAAGTTTCACACCAGGACACTCTCTCTCTCTCTCTCTCTCTCTCTCTCTCTCTCTCT